AAAATATGATGAAGAAGTATAACTTTTTAAATTTTCATAACTTTTCCCATTGATTTGCTTGGTTATAATACTATTTTGTTTACCAATTTTCCTATTTTAAAGAAAGCTTTAAATCAAATAACATGTAAATTCTTATGAATAATATTATTGAAAATCTGTTCATTTGTAATTTTCTTAATTAAAGCTTTTTTCCAGAGAGAATGGCAGAAATTGATAAAGAAGAATTAATTATAGAATAGTTGGAGATTAAAGAAGAGATAATTTCCTGCAAGAAAGAAATTCTTCCTTCCCTTACCTTAGATAATACATGTACAGTTAATCTACATAAAGATAAAAATAACAATTTTGCATGTTCATAACACAGCGGAACCTTTTAAGAGTAGTTTATACCCTTGGCCTGTATTGTGTCCTTGTTATACACATTATACATAGTCTAATATTTGAGTCTTCCCAGCTTTCTGAGTATATTGCAAATATAAAATACAGAGTGTCCCATAAAACATAGCATGCCTTTTTTGTGCTCTCATTATTACCTGAGATATAAAAAATTTTGTTTAAATTTGGACAATATTGGTTTATTTAAAGGGACTGTATAGGAAAATGATATTTTGTTAGGTGTAATAAATTTTTTTTTTAGCTTTACAGATTGAATGGTAGATGTTATTGACATCTGTTTAATCCATTAATCTACTCTGTAAAAACCGGAGCTGTCTTTAATCATCCTACTCTGGAGACATCGCAGCTGTGTTCAATCAGTCAATTTACTCTGGAGACATCACAGCTTTGTTCAATCAATCAATTTTGTCTGAAGACATCGAAGTTGTGTTTTATCAATCAATCAACTCTGATAGTTTAGATGTCGTCCTTATCATGTTAAAGAAAAGACAAAATGTCGTCGTTCTTCATGAAAGTGATCAGCTGTTTACTGCATCTTTTCCTAATCCTATAAACCAGCTGATATGTTCCAGTAAATAGTGTTAAATCTTCACTTCAGGCAATTTATTTAAATCTTTTGGAGAACTTTTAATAAAACTTATTGTTAGTTCTTCTTGGCTCCGTTAATGTTTCGTTTATTTGATTTGTATTTTTAATTGTGTTTTGAACTTGATTAATTTATAGAATTTCAGAAGTTTATTGATCAAAACTTAAACTTTATAACCAAATTTTTTGTAAAACATGTTAAAAATCTAACAATAGAAAATGACGTCATATACGTAATTTATTTTTATACTTAATCTAATTTTCAGATATAGAATGGCAGAGACTCAGAAAGAAGAATTAGATTTAGAAGAGATAAAAGAAGAGATAGTTTCTATCAAGGAAGAAATACTTCTATCCTCTACTGTAGAGGAAACATGTTCTGTGGATAAAGATATGAAAGGTAAACTTGAAAATAATTGAAAGCTTTACATTTTCCTACAAACTATGAAATATTTTACATGAGTTCATAAATTTTAGATAATGAGCATACAACACCCCGGCCACCTCCCCCACTACACAATGAAGCGGGTAACTCTTCAAAATATAACTCTTGGAGAAAATAAATTAATTAATTATTTCTATGTAAAAATTATCTTGCTAAAATAGTATTATTTTTAATCTCTCAAAGCGTCAAAAGAGTTTAGGAAGAATTTACCCCTAGAGCAAAACAATATTTTTCTAGGTGTACAAAATGTTGAACACAGTAAACCTGTATTTGATCCTGATTTTCACACTGAGCTAATCATTAAAGACGAATATGAGGATTGTAAATGTAGGTAATATGGAAACTTTTATATTCTTATCGAAAAAAATACCAATAAAATTATATATAATAGGTTTTTTTTATTATGATTTATTTTATTCTTTTCAAATGGAAGTTGTGTGGTAAGATAGGTTCTACCCTAACCTAGCTCCAGATTTATAGTGGAACTATTTTATTTATTTATTTAATTGCAAGGTTCTTGAAATCTATTTTGTTGTAAAATTTTTATTTGAACAAATAAGAATTCAGTGATTTTAAGATTACAAAAAAATAGATTATTGGTTACTTTACAGTTTTTTATATTGGTTTAGCAGAAAGAAACTTTTAGAATATTATTAAATAATATTTTTGCTATACAGGTGAAAACATAGATGACAGATTTGAGGATTTTAAATCAGAACCAAAGCGAAACAAGAAGCATAAAGTGGAATACACATGTAATAAGTGTAAGTATGTTGCAACTCAAGCAGGCAGTCTAAAAACCCACATTGAAAATAAACACGAAGGAGTGCGATATCCTTGCTCTCAGTGTAAGTATATTGCAACTCANACCAAAAAAGTCCGCCAAGTAGATTGTTACGAATAAAGTTTGTTTGTCATCAATTAATATGCTGTATTCTTCTATAATACCCTTATATCCGTCTCTTAGGGTCCTTGGAGCCATCACAACATTAAACATTTAAACTTTGCAATGTTAAATAAATTGTAAAATTGTCCCTCTTGTAACAATAATGAAATATAAAATTTAATGATTTTGAAATCTAGTTAAAAATGTACTATTTTTCTATTTGCAATTATGGGCGAGGAAAATACAACGCATATAAAAATATCATTTGTAATTCTTGATAAAAATATACAATGACCAGGACCTATAATTTATATATAGACATGTATTTATAATAGGTTTTTAATATGGATTTTTAATATGGATTTTAATATGGATTTTTTGACACAAAGGTTTTTAATATGGTTACATTTTGGGTTCAAAATGTGTAAACTAATGTTCCAAAATTGTTTAATTATGGTTCAAGATAAACATGTTTCTAGTCGAAAATGATTATATTCTTGATTTTTATATTATTGGTCTGTTATAGCTCTAGTCAGTTATATTTTTAGTCTTCATATATTTTTGATAGTTATATCATTAGTGTTACATTTCCCCCACCAATCTTTGCAATTGTTTTTGTATTTGAAGATAATAATTTTGTTTTTATGATTTTGCATTTATATTGGTAGGCCTCGAATTTATCAATGTGTTCATCATTAATTTTTTCCCAAAATAAATTCTTCTTATTTCACTTAAATATTGTGGTTTTTATTATAAATATAGTACTAAAGTCTTCTTCTAACTAAAAAATATTTTAAAACGTTTAGTTTTGGTGCAAAAAACGCTGAATTAATACAAAATTAAAAAGTTTACTTTTTATTAAGTTGAGGGAATTTAAGATAAACACTAGACCACATCTGAGCCCAAAATATTTAAGAAATGTTACATTTTAAGGACTGAAAATAAAAAATTTAAGAGACTTAACATCTTCTGCTTTTCAGGAGAAAGCATTGTTTGTGGATTTGATCCTCTGCAATCTGAACCTAA